ACAAGAATAAACTAGTCCTAAGGGCCTTAGTAGCAGAAATTCTTCTGGAAAAAGCATCTGACAGTACTAAATCGATCAGAGAATTTAAATAGAGGATCCACAAGTAAATTTTAGATATGGCAATTGGTAGATAACTATAGATAGAAATAGATATAGTAGAGCCTTAATTAAGCAATAACTAAAGTTGTATATGTAACCAATTGTACTCTTGTTGATGTAACAAAGTCAAGAAATACCTATTTGGTATCCTAATAATCAACCTGTAAAGTTAATAAACTGTGCCAGACCTCAAAGTAGTCACTTTAATATTAAAAAAAAAAAAAAAAATAATAAATAAGTAAATAAATAAATAATTATAATATCTGAAGATGATAAACCATATTGTTTGTATAATTTGTTATAAAAGTAATAATATTTATTATTGTTTTAATTGGTGATTTGCTAGTTAACCAATGAGAGGTCATAGTGTAATATGACGTGGTTTATATATAAAAATTAGAGTTTTGTGAATATGGGCTGCATTATTCTAAAACTTTTTTTTGTACTAAGTTAACTATCTTTAGGCTTTTAATTGAAGTTGTAGAGCTCATTAAGACAAATCTAATAGTAGTGAATTATCAAAATCAGTCTTGTAGATCACAAGATATCTTCGAAAAATATTTTTGTTGACTATATAAAATTCTCTTTTAACAATAATATTGTTAAAAGAGAATTTTACATAGTTTGTAAAATGTTTTTTAAAGATATCTTGTAATCTATAAAACCAATTTTAACAATTTAACTACTATTAGATTTGTTTCAATGAGCTCTACAACTTCAATTAAAAGCCCAAAAGTAGTTAACTTCGAACAAAAAAAGTTTTAGAATGATGCAGCCCATATTTACAAAACACTAATTTTTATATATAAACTATATCATGTTATACTATGACCTCTTACTGGTTAACTAGTAAATTATCAATTAAATGATATTGCTTGATTATTTACTTTTTTTATTTTAGTATTTTGTCATAAATTAATATCATGTTTTACAAAATATTCTTGTAAATTTTTCTATCTTTTTTCTTCAAGTCTATAAATTATTTTAAAAGCATTTAAACAAATTGATTTTCCTTCAAAAATATATTTTGTAAAAAGTTTAGATTTTTTTGAATTTCGAATTACTTCAGATCATTTAGTAGCAGAAATAATATTTAATAAAAACATATCTTGAAATTATTTAGAAAAATTTTTAAAATTTAAATATCTTATAAAAATTGTTGAATAATTACACTGAGTTTGTAAACAATTTTTTCACAACATCCTTTATCAAAAGATTTCTTAAATTCATTATTTTTCAATAAATCAATATTTTCTTCTAATTTTTAATTATCATTATCTTGTTTTTCTAAAATATCTTTTGTTTTATAATATAATGCTTCAAATTTAAAAGTTCTTCTTTAGTTCAAATTCTACTATCCAAAAGATTATTTTCAGAATTTTTAAAAATTTTGAAATTATCTAATGAAATAAATTATTATTTTTTTGATCTAAATATTGAAATTGCAAATTTGAAAGATCAGTTTGCAATTAAGTATTTTTTTTATAAGTTTCTTCAAAAATAGTTTTATTTAAAAAGTCTAGATATTTTTATAAAATTAAAATTTTAAATAAGATAAATTTATTTAATATTATATTAAATAATTATATTGTATTTATATACAAAATTTATATTTATATATCTAATATATATAAATAAATTATATGTAAATTTATTACAATAAAAATTAAAAAAATTATTGTATTATTATCTAAAAAATATACTATTTAAGTATTATTAATAAAAAATCTGAAATTAGGCTTTCAATATACAGTTAACTTTCTGTATGCAGTCTATAGACAATCTATTATCAGAATTTTAATCATATTATATAATATATTCAGCACAAAATATAACAAAAACTCTGATAAAAAATTGTCTATAGATGATATACAGAAAGTAATCTGTATATTGAAAGCCTGATTTTAGGTAATTTTTGATGGCACTCATTTCAAATTTAACTTTTTTTTAAATAATATATTTTAAAATAATATCCCAAGATATTATTATTAACTAAAAAAGAGTTAATGCAACTTTATATACATAATACCATTTTATATATATAATATCTATTAATGTATTTATCTAAAATATATTTTATTTTTAATAATAAAAAAAAACTATTGTTAATAATTTTTTTTTAAACAAAAAAACTAATTTGCTATATACTCCTAACCTGCGCTTAGCTGTCATAACCAACCAATATACTTGTTATATCCATAAAGTTTATTTTCTAATATTTACTCTAATGACAGATAAAAATATTTGTACCAATTCACAGAAGTTAGAAAAAAAAATATTTTTACAAATAGTTTTTGAATACAATCTACCTGAGAATAATAGTAATATTTGAACCAAATCTGACTGAAGTTAAAAAAATATATTTTATAGATAGTTTTTGAACCAAATTTATATAAATTAAAAAAAACAATTATCTTACTAATTTGCTATATGCCTCTAACCCATGTATAGCTATCATAACTAACCAATTAATATGTTATATTTATAAAAATTATTCACTATATTTACTCTAATTGCAAGCATTAGAAGTATTTGTACTAATTCACAAAAGTTAGAAAAGAATATTGTTACAGGTAGTTTTTAAATACAATTTACCTGAATTTAGAAGACTTCAGTTACCAGATCCAATTCACTAAAAATTAAAAATAATAGTAATATTTAAACCAAATTTATCTAAATTTTAAAAAAATAAACATCATAAATAGTTTTTAAATCAAATCTATATAAACTAAAAAGAAAATAATTACTTTATTAATTTGATATATGCTTCTAATTCATATATAGCTATTATAACCAACCAATTTAACTTATTATATTTGTAAAAGTCATTTACCAATATTTACTTTTACAACAAATAATAGAAACATTTGAACAAATTCACAGAATTTGGAAATGAACTTTGTTACTAATAGTCTTTGAACATAATTACCTAAATTTAAAAGACTTTAGTTACTAAATCTAATCTATTAAAATTAAAGACAATAGAAATATTTAAATCAAATTCGATAAGATTTTAAAAATATATTTTGTAGGTAGTTTTTGAACCAAATTTATATAAACTAAAAAAAAAATAATTACCTTACTAATTTGCTATATATCTCTAATCTACATATAGCTATTATAATTAATTAATTAATGTATTATATCTGTAAAGATTATTCACTAATATTTACTCTAATGACAAATATTAAAAATCTTTGTATCAATTCACAGAAGTTAGAAAAAAATATTGTTACAGATAGTTTTTGAACACAATCTACCTGAATTTAGAAGACTTCAGTTACTAGATCCAATCTACCAGATATTAAGAATAAAAATAATATTTGAACTACATTATCTGAATTTTAAAAAAATAAACATCGTAAGTAATTTTTGAATCAAATCCATATAAACCAAAAAGAAAATAATTATCTTACTAATTTGCTATATGCCCCTAACCCATGTATAGTTATTGTAACTAACTAATTTAACTTGTTATATTCATAAAGGTCATTCACCAATATTTACTCTTACAACAAATAATAAAAGTATTTAAACAAATTCACAGAATTTAAAAAAGAACTTTGTTACCAATAGTCTTTGAACATAATTACCTAAATTTAAAATTTTTTAATCACCAGATCTAATCCATTAAAATTAAAAACAATAAAAATATTTGAATCAAATTTGTCTAGATTTTAAAAATATATTTTGTAGATAGTTTTTGAGTCAAATTCGTCTAGATTTTAAAAATATATTTTGTAAATAGTTTTTAAATCAAATCTATATAAACCAAAAAGAAAATAATTGCTAATTTACTATGCACCCCTAATCTGCACATAGCTGTTATAACCAACCAATTAGCTTGTTACATCCATAAAGATCATTAACAAATATTTATACCAACACTAGAAATATTTGAACCAATTTACCAAAATTTAAAAAAGAACTTTGTTTCTAGTAGTTTTTAAATATAACCCATTTGAACTTAAAAGACTTAGTTATCGAACTCAATCTACTGGAAATTAAGAATAATAATAGTATTTGATCCAAATCTACCTGTATTTAAAAAATAACTTTGTTGCTAAGCCAAATCCACTAAAATTAAAAAAAAACCTTTATTATTAGCAGTTTTTGAACCAAATTCACTGAAGTTAAAAAGAAAACCTTATTTTTGTCAATTTTTAAACCAAATCCAATATGTTTTTAATTACCTTTACCATTCTGCCATGCGCGCAAAACTGTCGTAACCAGTCAATTATCTTGTATATCCGTGAATGTCTATTCACAATATTTCTATGGTAAGCAGTATTTGGTTTAACTATATTAACATCTCGAATTTAAAAAAGAAGGCCTTCATTATTAGTAGATTAGAGCTTAAGTTAGTAAAAATAAAACATTTTTTTTTATTAAAAAAAAAGTTTAATTTCGCGTTTGTGTTAGTTTAAATTTTTAACCGTTTAATAAAGATCTACATTTCTAGAATATTCTATTTGATCTTCGAAGATCCGGAATTTTTTTAGATTACTCTAATGTTTTCAGTTTTTTGCATTTAACCGATCTTTTTATTATGTAATGTGCTCTTGTGATTTATAGTAAATTTGTTTATTGAATACATATCTATTTAAAAATAAAATAAAATAAATTATTTAAAAATGTAAAATGGGCCCTTTTAACTGAAGACACCCCATATATAAAAGAAATAAAAGAACAGATTAAAAGTATGAATTAATATGTTTCAGTTTGTACGTATAAAACTTTTACAGTAAAAGCTGTAAATATACGTAATAATTTTACACTTGGACCTTGATCAAATTGATTTCCTAGTTTAGCAAAATTTAATTCGTACGTAAATATTTCTAAAAACATGTAAATAATCATATAACGATAATAGATATATAATTTTATATTTTATAGCTCATCTATGAATAAAGGTGAATAATGTCTATGTTATTTAACGGATTACATAAATCATTATGATTTGTATTAATTGCTTGGAATGGCTGCTCGATTTGCGTGTTATTTAAGCAAAAAGGAAATTGATTCATATATTCCATAAAATTATTTGTAAACAATTCGTTAGGTTCGTCAGATATTTGTGTAAAAAAATAAGGATGTTCTTTAGGTTCTGTCTGTTGCATTTTTAATGAATTATTAGACATTGTATTTGAACGAATATATTTTAAACTTTGAGATTTCTTCCCCAGGTCAAGTGTCAAACTTCGAGATCTTCTAATTTTTGCCTTTGAATTGATTTTTGCCCTCATAGACTCAGACGTTTCACATATAAATTTTTTAAACGGAACTCCAGAATCAGATATATTTGCCGAAGAATTGGATGAATTTGTTTGAGAAGGATGATGGTCTATAATATTAGTTTCTTCCAATAATGAAGAAGGATAAGTATTAGAGTCTACGTTATTAGTTTCTTGAAATGATGTCGAAGGGTAAAAATTTGTCGAGGAATCAGATATGTTTGTTTGGGAAGAATTATGGTCAAGAATACTAGTTTCTGGTAATAATGCGGAATGAGAATTTCCATATTCTAGAGAATTGAGTTGCTCTGGAAAATTAATATAAATAACGGAATCATTAAGAACGTCTTTAGTATCTTGTGTTAGGGACGAGGCAAAATCTTCGGTTTTTACTACATTCGCCAATGTCCGGATATCATTTAACTCCTGGATGAGAAGTTGTTCTTGTTTTTGCAAATCATTTAACAAAGAACAAATCGGGTTTGTTGGATTTAAATCTTTAATTAGTTCTGAGGCGAATATGGAGACAGGTTTTTTAGTACTTGGCTTAGGTCCTCGTTTGTGTTGTCTAACGAATACACATGATATTCCTTTTTTCATACATTGAATGCATTGAGGTTCGCCAAAACATTTTACTTTTTTAATTTTGCAATTTACACATGCAAACGTCGACTTTGAATATTTTTTTTGATTTTTTTGATCTGGAAGCAATAACATTACGGAGACCAATTTACTGTACAACAACATTCTTCCTTGGATAAAATGATTTTATCATGTAATACAAAGCGGCAAAAAGTATATTCGCCGCCCAACATGTGATCGCTAATTATGCTACGTAATAATATTTAGGGGAATTTACAAATAAGGGTCCGGAAAGTGAAAATAATTACAAATACGGGCCCAAATTACAAATAATTACATGTAAGAGCCTAATTTTTAAAAAATATTACACATATAAGGGCCCAAATTTATTGATGACTGAAAAAACGTGCTCACGGAATTACTGTGCCACAAAGTACTATGACCATTTGGCCTATAACGATTGCAAAATCGCGATTATAGAATCATTGATTATTTTTTATTATAGGCATTTAGAGTTATCTGTATACCGATTATTAGAGAAAGGATAAATGAAGCGCTGGTTATAATCATTTCGCTTAAATATTGTATAAAAAATAACGTTAAACTAGCACAATTATTTATAAGACGAAGTTTCAACCGAGTGGTTTTCTAGAGCTGGACGAACATCTTCAATGTTAGTAAATGTCATGCCAATTCGCGGTGCTTTACTTGGCATCATAGTGGTTTGTTATAACAATAAAATTCTTTTCTCATTTATAATTCTAATTTACAATCGATAGTTACATTTTTTATACACTTAATAACTACATTTATCGATGCTTACATTTCTTATGCTAATAACGATCAAGCGAATGACGTCGCGGTTATTTTGGACCCTTATATGTAATATTTTTTTAAAAATTAAACCCTCATATGTAATTATTTTTAATTTGGGCCCGTATTTGTAATTATTTTCACTTTCCGGGCCCTTATTTGTAAATTCCTCTAATATTTACTCCTAAGCTTGACACCGTATCGAATAGAAACAATTTAATAAATATTGGCATTTTTATACTTGGATGTTTTTTTTTTACTAAAAACAAAATAAATCAAAAAAAAAATTTAGAATACTTAGCTTTATTACAATGAGAGAAAAAATTTTATTTAAGGATTACATATATTATTATTATTACTTTTTCTATATATAGACCTATATATTCATTTTGTCGAATGAGCCTAAGACAATTGTGCTTAGCAGGGTTTTAATTTCACATTTTGAATTTCTATCACGTGACTTCCAGAGATGCAAAAAACAAACGACGTCTTTAAAATTGTTTATAAACACACATTATCAATGCTATTAAACCACTATTAAAAGTAGTAATAATGGAAGAGTTTGTAATTAAAGTCATAAGACTTGGTAAAAAAAAAATGCGGTTTTAGCCAATAAAATGACAGTCGGTATCCCTTTAGATTGCCGTATCAACGCATATATACACAATTATTAGTATCACCATGAGAAGTCTGCTGTTGAATTTTCCGATATCATACACGATACCAGATCAAAGTTTAATAAAATTCTTAACTCTTTTATTTAATAAAATATTACGATACTTTTATTAGTTTCCCAAAAGCAAATGGAACAGCAAGAGTCAATTCAAAAAGAAGAAAAAAAAAAACTTGCGTGCAGAACTTGCAACAAGGCAAAAAAACGTTGTTATGGTTGGAAAGTAATTTTCGTCAACAGTGAAGTCGAACTGAAATTGATACCCTGTGAAAGATGTTCAATAAAGGGATTAAAATGTAATGTTCCTCCCCATTGCAACTCATGTAAAAAAAAACTTGACACTATTGGTTTCTGTTCAAAAGAAGAATGTAAAAGAGTTCAAATGCTAGAAAAAGAACTTGCACGAACGAAGCAAACAATTCAAATGTTAACCTCTTATATTTTAGGTAAATTAAAAAATTCTTGACTATTTAACATAAATATATAATTATGTTTTTAAGCTCACTTTATTATTCAAATTAAAAAATATTAGAACAGAAAATGATTCAAGGTATGATCAATTTTAGTTTATTTTCTTGCAAGAAATCTCCAGCATAAATAAGTTCAAGAAACGATTAATTTATGGATTAGAACTGTAACAGTTCTATTACATCTCTAATCTGAGTAATGCCAAGAAAAAATCAAATTTCAGGCTCTCAAGCTTATTACAGTCAGATCTTCCTAAATGCATATTCTCTAAATGCATAGTCTATAAAAGACCTCTCTAAATACATGCCCTCATTTGGCCCCAACTCATATAACACTTATAGATTTTTACCTCCCTAAATGCAATACCTCTCAAAATGCAAGATTTTTTGGCCTCCCTCGGCTATGCATTTAGAGAGGTCTGACTGTATTTCTAAGTAAATTTTTTTCAAACTTTAAATTAAAATATCTCAACAATAACTAAATCAAACTTGATAAAAATTGGTTTATTTTACATAATTCTATATAGTTATAGAATTAAATAATTTTTTTTTTAGTTTGGTTTAATCATTGTTGAGATATTTTTATTTGAAGTTTAAAAAAAATTACTAAAAACAATTTGCTTGGTTTCTATTGGCATCCACCATATGGTAAATAATCAATAACAAATTTGAAAGCTTGAAAATGGTTTGCATGGGTATCCCTCATATAGTACTGCCGAAACCTGTAACGGTAAGTACTAATTTTAAACTTTTATCGTATAGGATTGATTCAGGCTTCTGTAAGATTAAATCTAATATGTTAAAATTTTAAAATCGGTACTTACGTATTAGATTTTTTTTTTTTCTTTTCCTTTCTTTTTTTTTTTTTTTACACGGCAACACTACATACTGTGTGTCAGATTAATAACACCAGATTAAAATTTCAATGCAAAACCCGGGGCTTATTTCGAGACATGCAATTTCCAGAGAGCTAAGAATTAATTTTGACAAAAATTTTTAAAAAATAAACCTATTGTTTGTATTCTTTAAAATTAACTCTTAGCTCTCTGGAAATTGTGTCCTCAAAATAACGCCGACGATACGGTAATACTTATCTACACCTATCATAAAATTTCGAATTTAAAATTTTGATCTGTTGCATGACATACATACAAGTAAATTAATATGTATTGAAGAACTTTATCATCATTTTATATATAGGAGAATTTTGCAACCATCTGTATTTAGGGTATGCATAAACTTAGTTGCTAAGTCGACTTAATTCACACTAAGCCAACTTAAGCTGAATTATTTTAATCTGAGTTGACTAGAGATGACTCAATAGATTGTAAATCGAAGCGAGTTAACTTAGCCCGTGAGTCAACTCTTAAACTTGCTTGAGTCAAGTTAGTTTAAGAGTCGATTCACGGTCCGGGTTAACTTAATTCTACCAGTCCTACCAGTCTTCGACTGCATACTCCTGCCTTTATAACTTGCAAGCTGTGAAAAAATTTTACATGATTAAATTCCCGCCGTAAATCCTTCAGACTGCGAGTAATGATTTCATTTCAAAGACTAATAATATCTATGTTGTTATATGTATAATACAATAGCTCGCCAATCAGATGAGGATGCTTTCTTCGATCAATATATAAATTTTAACCCAGAAGAGGTCGCAGAAAGCCGTAGAATTGCTGAGAAATAATTATCTAAACCTCGCAATAAAAAAAAATGTATTATAGTATTCAGCGAAATTCCAACTCTATTAGCGTTACCATTAGGATTCGACAAGAAAACAGGAATTTGTTCCTTTAAATATATATATATATATATATATAACCACTGTTATAGTTAGTATTTAAGAGAGTTCCAGGTCTATTTTTTATGTTTTTTTATGTTTCGAGTTCATAATGTTATCACTTATAAGCGATCGAATATAGATATATTGTCTACTTATATTATCAATATATAAATAAATATATACGTACTAAATTTTTTTTTTTAAAAGAGGTGAATTTATATACAAATTTTAAGAGAATTGCATAAAGGCTTTGTTTACGCGTCGTTTCGGATAAACGGAATATCCAAATCAAGAATTACTTAAAATAGACTTGCATGGAAGATTTTTTCCACCACAAATACCGGAATAAACGGAGAAATTATTCAATCAAGAATTACTCAATCAAGGAAATTGATTAATCAATATATTACCAAATCAGGAGGTCGGCTAAAGCCTTGTGGGATGATTCCACTATTCGACGCATTCAACATCCCGAAACATAATTATCACATCGCGCAATGTCGGAGTTCCAATATTCAAACTCTAGTAATAGATATGGGGTTTGAATATTGTAACTCCGACATCACACAGAGTGATAATAGAATTGTCCCACAAGGCTTTAGCGCAACCCCAAATGAGGAAATACCAAAAAGGGCTATCACGGAGAAATGCAATGCCACCCGAGATTTGCTACGTACAACTACTAAAATCATAAAACCATTTGTCGCTATGTATTACGTACGTACGTATAATATTTACAGTATTTTCGTTAAATTATTTCTGAATCGAGTACATACGTTTCGTTAGGGTGTGCAACGGCCTATAGACAGGGTCACTAATGATCATCACTAATTGCGGATTTTTTATTAGGATTGATGCACACATATCAATCTTATTAAAACAAAAATTAGATTTATTGAAATAAATAATTAACTAAATAGAATACTATTTTTTTTTAAACTGAACCTCAAGACTAGCTCTACACGGAAATAGAGCTATTTTTTTAAAAAAATATTTAGAATGCTAAATAATTAATGTTCTTGGTTTCGATTATTAATATTTTTTTACTTTTTTAAAAACAAAGATTAAAAAAATAGCTCTATTTCAGTATAAAGCTAGTTTAGAGCTTCAATTTTAAAAA